CCGGAAAAATTTCAGACCAATTAAAACCAGGCTGAGTTCAGTTGAATTCATTATTGAGATAAAGAGAAGATGAAAGAAACATTCTACAGAAGTATTGAATTGTCTGGTGCAAGATCATTTCACTTTTGTGTAATTATACCTTTTACTTTCTTTTCCACTTACACCTCTTGCAAATGTCATCAGATTACAGTTTTAATAGATGCTCTTACTTTTAAATATCTCCATGGCTAGCCTGCTGAACTGAACAAGGTTGCAAGACAGAGGAATATCTTATTCTTTCCTCTTGAATTTAAGCTAAAATGGTGATTATGAAATGCAGTTAGAAGTCCACATTTCTGGAGGATCTTGGTGCTTGCAGTCAGATTGAGAGTGGTAATGGCAGGCACACCAGGGAACTGAATGTGAATGAAAAGGTTTCTATTGGGAGATCTGTTTCTATTGTTAACGGCTTCATTAATGTGGCAGTTAATTCCATTGGAAAGGTTGACTTTGTATGGCATTGCTAAGAATTCTGTATGAAAAACAGATGACCAGATGTTGATGCAATGCAGATTGAATTGTTATTTGTATTGAAAAGGTGTATTATCTTGAACCTCAATGCAAAGGGGAGATTTTATTTGTATTTGATACGTACAATCAGAAATACATAGCAAAGTTTCAATCTTAATGTATGCATTTCTTCACAGGAGTTCAGGCATGCACCACGGAATGGCACAAAGTGGAAAGCACATCCATCCGCTGAGATCCCAGTGAAAGCACCACTCATCCCCTGGATGGCTTTGCATCTCCCATGGCACCAAGAAGGAAGTGGACTGAAGATACTGTCTGTCAGCCTGGCTCTACTGGCATTTCTTGCTATGGTTTACTATGGAGGAATTAAAAGAGAATTGTGAATTGAATGCAGCTTTCATAAAAAAATAAAATAAAATTGCTGTTTAAAATCTTCCAGGAATACACTTAGACGAACAATTCTCTCTCTCTTAAAAAGGTAAAAAGTGATATAAATTGGGCAATAATTTGTACTCACCCTATGCCTTTCCTGTCATTCATAGGAGAGAATGCTAATAAGCTCTGGGAGACCTGAAGTTTGAGATCTTTGTTTGGCAGAGAAGTTTATTGTATCTTTCTTCCTCTTCGTTTTTCTAAAATGATGCAATGTTTGCATTGCTTACTCTTTTTGTAACTGCCGTGGCAGGTTGAATTGTGTGCAGAAAACTCATAAAGCTTTTAATAAATCTTTCAATTGAGTGTTGTTGCTAATCTTTTATGTGCAGAACATTTATAGCTTCCTTAAAGATTTTGCTTAATGCAGTGTGATATGTATCTTTTTACATTAGAATCAAACACTGCTCAGCCATTAAAATTCATCATTTGTTGCTATTGATTTTGTTCTCCTGTCTGAAAGAATTCTTGGTCTGCCATCTTGCCTGTCAACTTCAGAAGGAGTTACTAAGCTTTGTTGATACAGCAAAAATCATTTTTTTATAAAGACAGTTGTGTGGTTTTTTTATTGTTGAATGGGAATTCCAGTGGTAGAGTTCTAAAGGGTGGGTTTAATACAATCTCCATAGACAGTATAGTGCTCAGAGAAACAAAGGTGAATCTCATATTAGCTGTGTTCTAGATCATATTGTGTGTAAGACAATATTGCTCCTTCAGTGGGGAAGCTACCTTTTGCTCATTCCAAATCTCTAATTACATCCTTCAAGCCATTTTTGTCACTACAGGGTCTCTGTGCATCTCAGGTTGTGCTATTCAGTCAGGGACTGAAGTCTTCCCAGCTGTTATATACATGAAATTGTTGTTTTGCTCAGCCCTTGTCACCTTTATAGATCTTCATCCAAACTACCACTTGCAAAGCCTGCTTTAAATCTTAAAGCATGAAGAGTGTTTCCAGCATGTTAGTGTGGAACTGAGTCTGTGTTCCACAATTGGCTCTACAGTGCAGACAAATAATCCTCTAGGAAGAATGCTTTGTGCTGTTTAAGTTGAGGTTTTATCATAGATACAGGCATTAATCAAGAAGTTCCACCACAGTGCTTCCAGTACGGCCTGTAGGACATATCAGCAAATGTAACTGTCTCCAAGAGTTAGGTGTGTAATGAATTAAATACTAATTTTCTTATTGCAACCACTAACGGTTGTGAGCCAAAACTCAAAAATGTTGAGATTAAGAAAAAAAAAAAAGAAAGAAAGAAAGAAAACAAAATCCTGTGCTCGATTTGCTTCTGCTTGCTTTCCAGGTTTTTCTCTACAACCAGAAATATGTGACAATCAGTAATTTTTATTTTTTAACAAATCTGGAATTCTTAAAAAAGGAGAAAGATAAAGAAAGAAAGAAAGGAAGAGGAAAAAAAAAAAAGAGGATTTCATTCCAGGAGCTGAAATTTGCAGGAAAGTCCTGCATATCATAGGAAAACTATGAGTTGACAAAATCATTACATCTAAGCCAAATTTTTGCATTTGATAGGAATAAACCATGCAGATTTGTGCTATGCCTCCAGCACTCTCACTGTCAGCCACTCTAGCTTATCTAATCATAGCAATTACAGACTCATTGCATCAGCTGTTGCAGAGATTTATGAAGCTTGTGATTCAGATTCTGTTGGTGTTAGTGGAACCAGCTTATTTTCTTGGAAATAATTTAGTATATGAAAAGAGGGCAAAGAAAAGTTTTCAGTAAGTACAGTGCCCACAGATGCAGTATATCCTTAAACTGAGCTTTCCGCTGATAAGTAGGAAATGTTGTATATCAAGTGTCTTATTATTTTCCTTTAGATTACAAGAGGGCTTTTTGACACTTTGTATTGTAGAGGAGTAGTGTGTTTTTCATTTATTTCTATTAGTTTACATCTGAGACTTTGAAGAACCCTTATCTCCTTTCTGGAACAGATTGACCTGAACATACCTGATCTATGAGTTCTGTCCCTGTTTCATTCCCTGAATGCTTCTCAGTGCTTGGCCAGGTGGCACTTAAATTACATCAGAATTAAAATTAAGAATTAAACATAAAAATTAAAAATTAAATCAGCAATATGTTTAAGACTTACTTATATCATGTATTCTCTTTAGAAGCCGTCAGAGAGAAAATCTACTGCAGAGAAAAATCTACGTCAGACAAATCTACTGCACTCTAAATTAATGAGGACGTTGCAGGAGAATTTTCCCCACAGTCGGTTATCTCACTCTACCAGATGCATAAACACACTGGTCACTGTAGAGTGTGTCTGGCTAATAAGAGGTCTACATTCAGTGCTCTTTTTTGTTGTTTTCATTTTGCTTTTTAGTATAGAGTGTTTCTTTTTTGTGCCAAGAAAGGCTCAGCCATTTTTCTTACTGTCTGTCCCAGCTTTGAGTTCTCTTTGGCTGTTTTTAGTGAGGAATCTTGCAAACCACAAGACTTAAATAGCAAGGACATCCTAAATCTCTTTTGAAAAATACTAAGTGCATGCTTTCTGTGTTTACTTCTGCATGATTTTGGATGCTGGAGGAATTTGTCATTTAATCTTTTTGTTGCAGTTTCCCATTAATGGCATACCTGCTTAGAAAAGGAGTATGAAATAAAAAATATGTTTTATGTAAGGATTGTTTGATAAAGCAAGAAAGAGAAAGGAGAAAGTACCTTCTGAGGAGAGTTCATCCCCCCTGTCACATCATTGCCTGCACATCTGAACATCTGATAGCTTCTGTTAATTTAGTTCACTCCCCAGTTCAGCTTCCCATATGGAAAGCTGGAGTGATTTTTGACTAACAGCAAGTAATATCTGAAGTGGCAGCAACTGGCAACCCTGACACAGAGTTTGGCTGTGGCCATTACTCAGAATCCTTCCACTCCTCTCGGGAAGCAATTACAATTTCACAGGTTGGAATTAAAGCTCCCTGCGGTATGCTATAGAGTAACTGAAACTGTCAAAGTGATTTCAAGCTGCTAATCTCTCACTGCTCCAAGAGCGGAAATAAAGCCCTTCTTACCCAGACACAGATCTGACGTTAAAAACTACAGCCTCCCACTATGCTTAAATACACAGGGAGAGTGGTGTGATCTTCTCTGTAAAGAAGTTATGTCTGCTAACATTTGTGTGTTACTAACGAGTCTATCTTTTTTAACAAGATGTGTGTCATTTCAGAGAGTAAGGCAAATAGAAAGCTCTGAGAATTTGGAGGAGTGAGCAGGCATTGGCCTATCTGTGAGGTTTATTTTACTGTACAGAGAGAAACTGAGCCTTTAGAAATCAAAAACAGGAAAAAAAAATGAGAGGCAGTAAAGCCTTTGTAAAGCTAGGGTACAAAATGAAAAACGTTAGTGCGAAAGTTGCAAAGAGGAGGCACTGCCCACAGCATTAGGGACTGGTTGCAAAACACCATTTGACTTGTTCAGAGGCAGAGTTTATCTGCTGGATAATAGCTAGATAATTAGTGTTAGAATAGTGCTGGGAAGTGTTTCTGCAAATATCATTAGGGGTCTTTTTGTCACATTTTGCGTTCATGCAGGCTTTTACATAACATCGAAGTGATTTATTTTATTTTTTTTTCTGCAAAGTATGTAAAGATGCTTCAGCACTTCTTGGAGAGGAGAATTGTGACTAGTCCTATTTTAAGTTCAAAGAAGCCTGCTACCAAAAAAAATCCTAATATATAATTGTGTCCCTGCACTTGCAGGTATACCAAAGTCTGTTAACTCCCACCTGGGATGCAGTTTTGGGTAAAGGCCATTTATATTGTAGATCTCATTGTGCTATGTTGTGACAAGTTGGGTGTTTGAAAACAGTGAAAGTGCCTGTGTTCCAGTCAAAAAGCTCATCAAACATGATGGCAGAAAAGATCCTCAGATCTCTTTGTTCCTCCTTTTCACAGCCTCTCAGGCCTTTTCACCATCTCTGCAGACTTCCCATTTCCTTAACGCTCTGCTTGATCAAATCTCCCCTGTCAATGTCAGAAGCTAAAAGGAATAGTTAGATAATGTGCCTGACTTTCCTTGTGATCCTGTTAGGGAGGTAGGGTAAGAAATAGGAAGGCAAGGATATGGTCCAGTGATGAAGGTGTTACGGTGATCAAAGAGTATGAAATATTTTTTCGTGTGGGAGCTGATCACCTAAAAAGGATCATAATATCTGCCTTGTGCATCCTCTTTCTCTACCTGCAATGAGTAGTTGCTCACTCTTATATTACTGTTCAGAGTAAACTGCATTTTGTTATGGAATGGAAAAATCCAGAGTGTCTAACTTAAATGTTTGAGAGCGGACTGAAATACAGTAATGTAGCAGGGATGTACATGTGCACCCCAAAACCAGCAGCTAGTGAAGCATCATGCACTTCTACTGTCATACAGCTTCATCTTCTATTTGCAGTTGAACTTTGTATCTTCCTTTTTTTTTTTTTTTTTTGAATACTCAGTCTACATTCCAAGGGTCCAAGATGAAGATTCCTCTGGAATAACTTAAGCAGACTGAGAGGAAAAATCTGCTTTTTGTTTAACGTTTATTTCACTGAGTGGGGAGAGGCAGGGTATGTGAATTATATCCCACAAATGGAGAAAGGCTGATATTTAAGCATCTTCCTTGCATCTTTGTTTTATTGGAAGCCAGTTAGTAATGATAGCTGTTATTGAAAAGCACTGCAAATGTGAGATTTTATGGAATACATTCTGCTTTGGATGGTTTGATGAGTGCTGGTTGTAGGTAATGGAACAAAATTCCATGCTAGTGACCAGAGTGTGATTCAGAGTCATGCTTACAGCTTGCATGCTTTCTGTGTCCCGTCTGTTGCTGAGTGTGAGAACAGGCTAGTTGTGCTCAGCTGAGCATAAAATACTGTCTACTCCCTTCCTGGGTGGTGTTTGTGGGGATGGGTGTACAAATGGTTAGTTGGCAATGAGTTACAGATTACAGGAGAACCTTGGGGATGATAAAACACACAACAAAAGGGCTGTAATTGTTTGGCAATACTGTGGGTTGGGGGTCTGAAAGAAATTAATGCAGTGAAATCCTGACATCATGGGAAATTTGACTTTGCATAGTTAAGAGCTCATTACTGTATACTGTAAAGATGAAAACTGTTTTATGGTGCTTGGAATTCCTTGCTGTATAGGCACTCTTCCCAGCTGCTTATGACTCTTTACCATGGTGCATTGGAGCAGTTCATTTCACCCCACTAGGTCCTTCCCAATGGTACCACAGCTGGAGAAAAGCAGTCTGCCTCATCTGAGTTCTCACTGTGATCAGGTGTGTGCAGTTTTATGGAGGAGGATGCTTTAACTTTTTGTTGCCTATCACCCTGTTTTGTCAAACATTATGCTTCTTAGGTAAAACAACTGAACTGTGACTAGCAAAGAAACTAGCTTAATCCATTCAGTAATTAACACATAGTATTTAAGGACTGCAAATTTGGACAATTTGTTCTTTGAGTACCTCCTTCCCAATCTTTCCCTGTGAGCCCACATTCTCTTCTCCTTTCTTCCAGCAGAAGCAACTTTGCCCAGTCTGGTGACATCTCATTTTGTTTTATAGAAGATGACGTGTCTTCAGAAAGAGAATATTAGTCTGATTGCAGTAGCTGCTTCCCTGAAAACAAAAATGCTACTTCTCCTTTTGGAGCTGATCTCCCAGAGGTATCAGTGCTTGGAAGCTATCACCTTGCAGTGTCTCTACACTGACAACTGTGCAGTGCCTGGTCAATGCAGCTTTTGGGCTAATTTTAGAAACTCCCATTTCCTAATAAACAGAATTAAAAGGCCTCTTCTGTTGTGCTATTTTACTGTAAACTCCAGAAATCCAGTAATTCAAAGCAGGAGATAAAATACATCATTGATGTCAGTTGGGTGTATTAAATTTGTTATCTGCAAGTGGCTTTGTGAGCCATAAAAGTCAATATCTAACAATCATTTACTGTAAGATCTCTATACAAGAGATTATAAAGTGACATGGTCTGCAGAGTATTAGTATGAGACAGCAGAAGGAAACAAGTGTGCGACTTACTGAACCAACCACACAGATAACCAATAACAGAGAAAAGGATGTTCCTATTCAAAGGACAGCTTGTATTACAGTAGTATTAAGGAAATGAAATATAACAGGTTATGCCACAGGTGCCTTCATTTGCTTCTGTCCTACTTGGATTGTTTGGTAGGCAGAAAGAGCAAAACTGAATGATGGTGTCTAGCAGAAGGATAAACAGAGCCTAACAGCAGCTAGCAGCTTTGGCTCAGTGAGAAATAAATTACTTGGTACAGATCTGAATCTCCCACACTTCCCTGTCTCCTCCCTACCAGCTCTAAAAGGAGATACTTCCTTGTTTTGGGCTGTTTCTTTCTTTCTTTCTCCAAATATGTTCATGTTCCAGAAATCTTCATACTCTACCTAATTCTGTAGTAATACTGAAATAAAATTTTCACCTTCACTTTTGTTTAAAAGATCAAGATAGTTCCTGGCTTGTTGCATGCCCTGTGAGCCTGAATCAACTGACACGTTATTGGTAGGCAGAAGGGGTTCATTTTTATTTGAACTGATTTGAACCTAAACTGGAAGTGTTCAGTTGATCTGAGAACCACTAATAAGGAGATCAAGAAAATCAAGCCTAGCTGGCAGTCAATTTGTTGTATTTATTGTTTCTATCTACAGATTTACTGGGACTGCCTACTAAAAATTGTTAAAACTGAGTAGTTATGCACAGTGATCAATTTTCAGTTTCTATCAAATTATACTGATGTGTTAAAATCAGACATGGATAATCCATAGCCTTGCCACAGCATGCATCTGTGTGGAAAACCAGAAACAATGCAAGGAGGACCACTGCAGGGCAGTGATAGCATGCACCGCTCTCACCATCTAGGAGCCTTCTGCATGGAACTTCTGTAATGTGAGAAGAAAAGCAAACACTGAACAGCTGATAAAAAGAAGTTCCCACTCTTTGTAAAAATGTGGCTATCTTGTACTGCTACAGCAGACCACCACTGTAGAGGTGAATGGGGCAACCTTCTGTCAGCTGTGTTTCTTTCCATGGTCTTTGAAAGATGTTTACCTGCCCTGCATCCTACAGAAGCCTTGTATGCTTGGGTATTCTTTAATGAGTTTGGAAACCCAGCATTACAACTTTCTGAGTCACAGCAAGGAGGACAGTATTTCAGCCCTTCACATCAAAGTTGTTGCCATATAAGAGGTTTCAATAGTGTATTTCCTTTTCTTGTTGCCTACACCGCTGTAAAAATTGAGTCATCAGCATATAAATGCTTTCTTGGCCTCTCAATATGTGATTTTGTATGTGTGTGTTGACTAGCTGCCCATTTCATTTCTCCTTCCACACTTGTTGACTCATCTAGCTAAGAATAATGAAATTGGGTAGCTGCCAGTTACATTTCATATCGGTGCAAATGCAGGAAAGCTGGGGCTACTCACAACTACTGTCTTTATCTGCCAGGAAATCCATGAAGCTGCAGTTCTGGTGGTTCCCACTCAGAGCAATGGCTCGAGCAAAAGTTTTGGAATAGTTTTAGTAGTAAAAAGTCTGATCCTCTGGACAGGCTTGTGCTGCGGTCCTTCATGGTGTGCTCATGAGCAAGGAAAGGAGGAGATGAAATTTGGCTCCTTTGGGAGAAAATATCCAAGGAGGGAACGTATTTATTTTTGTTTCCTTGAAACATTCTACAATCTGGTCCAAATTCACTCGACAGGTACAACTGTCAAGGTCTCCTTGCTTTAAAAAAAAAAAAAAAAAGACAGTACTACCTGAACTGATTTTCCAATTGTCAGAATTCAGTTATCTAGACATGTTATTCCTATTTCAGTCAATAAAAGCAGCCTGGCATAATGGCAGCAGACGAGCAAAAAATTTTTCTCCTCTTTTCTTAGGCTCTCCAAAGTTAGTTGTAGAACAAAAGTTTTGTCCCAGTGGAGAAGAAATACTTTGGGTGGTTCTTTCCATACCGTGTAATTGTTATTATGGGACAAGATTTCAACAAGACAAAGGCCTAAGGAAAAAAGAGATAAATGTTAAGCAAATGACCTTATTCTGTTGTGCAGCATGATCGTAAAGCAAGAGCAATAAGCATGAGGATGCCATGTAATCTTTTTGCTCATTTTTTTTCTTACCCTTTCCCTCAGTTATTGTCAGAGGGACAACATTTTTCTTTTCAAAATAGAATAGCTGCAGCTCATCGGTTCCTCTTAAGAAAACACGTCTTCTGTCACAATAGTTTCTGCAGGCTGAAACTACTGATACAGCTACAGAACCTGGGCCGGGCAGTTCTCGCGAGAGCGGCCGTGGCGGCGTTGCCAGGGCAGCGGCGGGAAATTTAAACGGTCGCAAACCCGGAAGAAGCCGTTGGTCGCCGAGGATCGCCGCTTCGGAGCCGGTCCAGTCAGAAGCGCAGCGACTGATCGCGAGGTACAGGGGGGTTTCGGTCGGTTCCCTCACTCAGGATCCCCGAGGGGGCAGAGCAGCCGGGCAGCTCTCGGCCGGGCAGTTCTCGCGAAAGCGGCCGTCGCGGCGGGGGCGTTGGGCGTTGCCGAGGCAGCGGCTCTGCATCCCCCCCTCCTCACTCCTACACGGGACTCCCCAGCAAGGACGGTTGTTGTTGCCGGGGTGAGCTCCTGTTAACGACCCGTCAATGGGGCGGGGGCAGAGCCAGCACTACCGGCAGCAGGGCCGGCCTGATCAGGCACACCTCATTAAAGCTATCTGGTAGTGTTAGTGTGCCTGCTGGTGTGCTGCACGCCGGAGGAAGGCTAACGCCACAAAAATTGTGGAGACCCAGGCGGAAGTTCTATGCTCATGCAGAAAAAAGACTGCAGCCAAAAAGAGCGTGGAGACCCAGACTGAGGTCCTGTGCATGCTTGAAAGGATAGCTGATGCTAAGACTAGTGTGGAGACTCAGACTGAGGCCCCAACATGAGATGCTAGTATGCAGGTCACTGGCTGTCATGAGTGCCAGAGCCTGGCCTTTGCAGCGCTGGGTGATGGCAGTGGTAATTGTATAAGATGTGTCCAACTACACGACTTACTCAGCCTTGTGGTCGACCTGAAAGAGGAGGTAGAGAGGCTGAGGACCATAAACGAGCGTGAGAAGGAGACAGACTGGTGGTGCCAGTCCCTGTCAGCCCTGAGATCTTGGCACCACGTGGAGCACATCACCCCCTGCTGCCTTGTAAACAGGTGGGAGAGGGGAAGCAGCACATGGGTGAAGGGAACCGGTGGGCTGACAGTGCTGCAGTGAGACTCCTGTCCTCTCCTCCTCCTATGAACAATTCAAGAAAGGGGAAGAAGTGGAAACATACCAGCTCGACAAAGTGGGCATCCCCCATCCTGACCATCCTCGGCTCCCCAGGTGCCTCTGAGTAATAGGTTTGAGGCCCTGGAACTTGAGGGAGAGGTGAGTGGGGGTGTGGAGGGAGGTCAACCCGTGAGGTTGCCTCAGGAAAAGAAGTCGACCCCACGCCTCAAGACTGCCTCCACGCAGAAGGACGGAAGGATGGTTGTTGTTGGAGATTCCCTGCTGAGAAGAACGGAAGGCCTGACCCATAGGGAGGTGTGCTGCCTCCCTGGGGCACGGGTCAGAGACATTTCTAGGAGACTTCCTGGTCTGATTCACCCTTCTGATTATTACCCATTATTGATAGTCCAGGCTGGCAATGACGAAGTTGCTGAGAAAAGTCTCAGAGCTATCAAGAAAAAGTTTAGGGAACTGGGGCGGGTAATCGAGGGAGTGGGTGTGCAGGTGGTGTTTTCTTCCATACCTTCAGTGGCAGGGCAGGATACTGAGAGGTACCAAAAAACACACCTCATAAATAAATGGCTTAAAAGTTGGTGCAAATCCAGGAATTTGGGGGTTTTTGACCATGGGGAAACTTACTTGGTGCCTGGCATGATGGCAGCAAATGGAAGTAGCCTGTCTCTGAGGAGGAGGTGAATCTTAGCTGAGGAACTAGCAGGACTCATTGACAAGTCTTTAAACTAGGTATGAAGGGGGAAGGGAGCAAAATCAGGGATGTTGAGCTTGAGCGGATCATTCAAGGGCTCATACCGAACCTGATGGGCAATGACAGTGAAGTACAAAGGGATGGGCAGGGGCAGGGGGGTGTTGGAGATGCTGCTGTTCTAGGGGAACCTAGATCCTTTATAAAGGCAGCGAGATGGAAAGCCCAGCTGAAGTGCCTTTATACCAACACACACAGCCTGGGAAATAAGCAGGATGAGTTGGAAACCATGATGTGCTTAGAAAGTTACGACCTTGTTGCTATCATGGAAACATGGTGGGATGATTCCTGTAACTGGAATACCACCACTGAGGGCTATCGGCTCTTTAGAAGAGATAGGCTAGGTAGGAAGGGTGGGGGAGTTGCCCTCTTTGTCAAAGAGTGGATAGACTGTGAGGAGCTTCCTCTGAGAAACAGTCAGGATCACATTGAGAGCCTGTGGGTTAGAATTAGGGATGGGTCTAACAAAGGCCAGCTGGTGACAGGAGTATGCTACAGGCCACCTGATCAAGGGGAGACTGTTGACGAGGCTTTCTTGCTTCGGCTATGGGAGGCTTCGTGCTCACGGGTTCTTGTCCTGATGGGGGACTTCAACCATCCGGATATCTCTTGGTAAGACCACATGGTGCATTGCAAGTGGTCTAGGAAGCTCCTAGAATGTGTTGATGATAACTTTCTGGTCCACTGTCTGGTGCTGAACAGACCGACCAGAGGTGAAGCATCACTGGACCTGCTGCTCACCAATGCGGAAGAAATCATTAATGGTGTTAAGGTTGGAGGCAGCCTGGGTTGCAGTGACCATGCTCTGGTTGAGTTTGTGATCTTGAGGGATGTGGGCCTGGTGAAGAGTGGCATCAGGACCCTGAACTTTGGGAGAGCTAACTTTAAGCTGTTTAATGGACTGTTGGCCGAGATCCCCTGGGATACTGTCTTTAAAAACAAAAATGCTGAGGAGAGCTGGTTACTCTTCAAGGGTGCCTTCCTGAGAGCGCAAGAACTCTCCGTCCTTCTGAACAAGAAAGCGGGCAGAGGAGGTAGGAAGCCGGTGTGGCTCGGTAAGGACCTGCTGGGTGTGCTGAGGGCAAGTTCTGGAAACAAGGGCGTATCACCTGGGAAGAATACAGGGATGCTGTCTGGACTTGCAGATGTGGGATCAGGAAAGCCAAGGTGCAGGTGGAACTGAACTTGGTGAGGTACATGAAAAACAATAGGAAGACTTTCTACACTGGCCAGAAGAGACAGGCCAAAGCTCTCTCTACAAAGCTCTACACTCTACAAAGGAGTGTACCTCCTTTGGTAAATGTAAAAGGAGAACTGGCTGTGAAGTGAAGGCTGAGGTACTGAATGAGTTCTTTGCCTTGGTCTTCACTGGTGGCCAGGATTCTAGTATTTCTCATGTCCCTGAGCCCAGCATCCCTAAACCTCTGGGTGGGGACCAGGGTGGTAAATTCCCCCCGCTGTGAGGACAGAGCAGGTCCGAGACTAAATGTGTACAAGTCTATGGGGCTGGATGGTGTGCATCCCAGGGTTCTGAAGGAGCTGGCTGAGGTGGTTGCCGAGCTGCTCTCCGTCATATTTGAAAAGTCATGGCTGTCAGGTGAGGTCCCAGATGACTGGAGGAAGGGTCACATCACTCCCATTTACAAGAAAGGTAGCAAGGAGGACCCTGGGAACTACAGTCTGGTGAGTCTCACCTCTGTGCCTGGGAATATCCAGGAACAGATCATCCTGGATGACATGCTTGGTCACATGAGGAAAGGGCATGTGTGGAGCCCCCAGTACAAAAAAGACAGGGAGCTGTTGGAGACAGTCCAGAGGAGGGCCACGAAGATGATCAGGGGACTGGAGCACCTCCCCTATGAAGACAGGCTGAGAGAGCTGGGCTTGTTCAGCCTGGAGAAAAGAAGGCTGCGGGGTGACCTCATTGCAGCATTTCAATACCTAACGGGAGCCTACAGAGGGGAGGGGAATCAACTCTTTCAAAGGGTAGATAACTGCAGGACAAGGGGAAATGGTTTTAAGTTGAGGGAGGGGAGATTTAGGTTGGATGTTAGGGGGAAGTTCTTTACTATGAGAGTGGTGAGGTACTGGAACAGGCTGCCCAGAGAGGTTGTGGATGCCCCGTCCCTGGAGGTGTTCAAGGCCCAGGATGGGGCCCTGGGCAGCCTGGTCTAGCATTAAATGAGGAGGTTGGTGGCCCTGCATGTGGCAGGAGGGTTGGAGATTCATGATCCTTGAGATCCATTCCAACCCTGGCCATTTGGTGATTCTGTGAAACTAATTCCCCAGAAACTGGAATCAACACTGCAGCATCAGGAGTAGCTATAGAGGCCCAGGCCCAAACAGATTTAAACAAAGGCTGCTGCCTTTCTCTTCTGCCTCCTTCCATCTCTGGCTTTTGCTGGCACCACCAGTATTTTTGGATGGGATTTCTTTTGAGCTGGCTTAGGTTGCTGAGCTGGCTTGCTATGCAGCGGCATGAGCACTTATGCAAGGAAAGGGATGATTTACATCTTCTGGAGCTGCTGGAGAACCGTGCTTTGGGCCAAAAGACAAGGATTGCGTAAAGCTTAGAGCTGAACTGCCTCTTGCTGGTACAGCTCTGGAAAGTCTCTTGCTCTACCACTTGACTTCAATCACATAGTTGCAGTAGCATGCTGTGGCCAGACAAATACGTGCCTGAAAACAGTACAGTTGTGCAAGCACTGCAGAGCAGAACTTTAAAGTTGTTCAGAGACCTCGACACAGCTTCAGAGATGCAGTGTGCTCAGGAGCTGCAGAGCGGGGGTCACAGCCCACAGTGCAGGCAGGGTACTGCTGAACTACCAGATTTCATGGTACCACAGTGCTCTGTTCTGAGCAGCTTGGGATTATTGTTGTAAAAGACACGTAAAGTTTCTCTTGCTCTGTCCTCCTCTAGACTAGAAACTCCAATGGTCCATATGAAATAGGACTTTTTTTTTTTGTGAACAGACCTGAAGCACAACGTGCCATTGCCTTCCAAGGCGTGTTGTTTATGTGGGTAGAACAGACTTCATGTTTCAGGACTCCCCATCTGTCTCTTTTGTTAGCTGTAGAAATCACTTTAGAAAAAACAACTGGCATGTGAGTGGGTGGTTCGTGCTGGTTGTGGTTTGGGGGATTCTTTTCTTTTGTTGCATCACTTTCCTTGTGCACATGCTGCTAAATTTCTATTTGTTAAGGAAGTACAAAGGAGGAAAAAGTAAGTCCTGCGTCATTCATTTCAGTTTGCGTTTGTGCATAGATCTGGTCAGAGCCAGCCAAATTCTGGGCACTCAGCGATGTCAGCAAACATAAAGCAGATATCTAGAACAAGACTTGGAGCTTTAAAGTCACAGTAAGACTTTGTTATGAACTTCTTCTATGAAGACTTGCAGGATGACACATGCAAAAAAATGTTAACTTCTGTTAAAGGCTCTCATGGGATTTCTTACCAAATGTTAGCAAAAACTCAGCAGGACATCTCAAGTGGTACATTCCAGAAGTTTTTATCACACATTTGTCGAAAACATCCTTGAAAAAACAATTAGTACAAGGGAAGAAAAGCTAAACTTACACTGGATTGATACTAAATGCAAATTTCTGGGACCAATTTAGGAAAACAATGACGTTTAAGTGAGAGCTTAATGGAAACATGTGAGAATGGAAATGGCCTGAGCCTGGCCTTCTGCCCACTGTTCCCAGTGTAGAAAGCAAGTGACTACAATTAAACTGTGAAGGAAAAAAAAAAAAAAAAAAAGAAAAGCTTATAATGATAAAGTATCCTTGATGAAGTGTTTTGGGTACCTTGCTATTTCTGGCACTATATTTTTGTAATCCATTTCCCATGGATTATCTTGCAATTATTTACAAGTTTGCCTGTGTGAGCATATATGTAGGTCACTCTGAAAATAATGGTTCCTATTTATTACCATGTAAACTACAACAAAGAGCCCAGTAACACTGTTTAATAGAGCAAATTCTCAGCTACAAGACACCATTTTTCAGCATAGTCACCACCACTAGCTATACATTTTCACCATCCATGAGCAAGAGCCTGTATGCCATGCCTGTATCTGCACAAGCAGAGATGTCCTGCTGTTGCCAGTGCTGAAATGCACCACCACTGCCCTATCTTCTGTTTGGCCTCCATCAATGTTCAGCAAACATCAGTGAATGTCAATGGGTGCCATTTTTTTTTCCCCACATGGAGGAATTCAGTGACCCACCTTTGCTTCATTTGCACTTCCGTATCAAATGCCACTTTGTCAGACTGCCTCTCTACTGCCACCTGTCGTATGGCAGTAAAATTCAACGGGATATTGGTGGGAAGTTTCAACCTCTACTGCCACACTACCTGCATCTGCCGCTGGCACTGTGGGCAAACATAATAAAAACAGGAGGCATTACTTTTGGAGCAGCCTTCCTAGAATGTTTGCATGCATGTGCTGGTATTTTTTTTTTATTTTATTTTTTTTACTTCCTCATTCTGCAGTCAGTGGTTTGAGAAAGCTTGCATGAGTTTAAGGAAAGGGAAATAAGGTTAAAGAAGAATACTCTGCCTTGTTCTAAGGTTCCAAAATGCAGTTGGCTCAAAACAAATACCACTGCTGGGGCCAGCGAGCAAAAGTGCCACCTGCTCCATGCCCAGACCTACTTGCAAGACAAATGGGCCCATTGTTTCTGCGTGTGTAAACAGCACCTATCCTGGGAGGTCAGGGCTACATGAGGTAAGGAGATTCTAGATCAAATGCATGTAGAAGATTTTGGAGATAAGGACAGTAATGATAAGACTCATATACTCTCTGACCATGTTTTGGAGGTACAGTAAAACCACAAAGCACTGAGCTTGTGTTAGCTCACTCTGGTTGTTCAAAATACATAGAGGAGTTAACTTTCTACCAGTAGGCTTCATGCCAGGCAAGGTATCATTTTTCCCTCCATGGCCAACCTAGAGGTGTAATGCTGCCCTAAGCTTTCTGTCATTTCCTGTAGCAAATTCTCCAGAGTGGTGGCTGAGTACCTGTGCCTGACATAATCCACGTGAATTGCAGGTGAGCTATAGCACACGGTGTGAAACTGGCAACCTGAGAGATGTATCTGAAGCTGGGTTTGTCTGGGTGAAGCCTTCCAGCCCTTCAGGAGTTTGAGAATACCTGGGCCCAGCATGAGGATGAAGGTAAGCTGTGGAGTGCATATAGATCTTTACTTTTCAGTGCTTTTCAGGGGAAATAGTTTTAAGTTGAGGAAAGGAAGGTTTAGGTTGGACATCGGGGAAATTCTTTACAGAGAGAGTGGTGAGGTGCTGGAACAGCTGCCCAGAGAGGTTGTGGATGCCCCGTCCCTGGAGGTGTTCAGGGCCAGATTGGATGGGGCCCTGGGCAACCTGGTCTAGTATTAACTGGGGAGGTTAGTGGCCCTGCATGTGGCAGGGGGGTTGGAGATTCATGATCCTTGAGGTCCCTTCCAACTGTGGCCATTCGTGATTCTGTGCTATAAATGTGGTGATTTTTATTTCCCCTTTAAATACTAGAGTTGCTGTAGATATAAAGGCTAATTCAGTAGCCAGTGGTCTTATCAGATATTATAGAAGAGCACAACAGAACTGGCAGTCTTTGCTTTGACTGTCGCTGGCATTAGGCTAAAACAACTCCTCAGAGAAGATCAGCAGTTGCATAGTTCTAGCAAATTCCCAAATTACATTTCTAATAAAAAAAGAAAAACTCTTCCTGTTGTATGTTATAACACTGACTGCTATTCTGGCTGCACACAGAAAATCAGGTCTTGTGCTGTTCTTGAATTACATGCACAGCTTCCACTGCATAGTATCCTTCATAGTTAGCTGTCATGGAATTGGAGCAGAACCATGCTAAATTGGAGCAGAACCAAGCTGGCACCTTAAGATACCATCTAATCTCACAATGTTTTGGAAGGTCAGTTTCTCCCACTTAGGAGGAAGACCTCTGTTTATTTTCCTGCAAGTTGTGCAGTGTGAGGTCATCCTTCTGTTGTGTCAGCTAAAAATAGCACTTTACCAGGGACCATTACTGGCTTTTACATTGCAGACAATGAAAAACAACTTACAGTCTTCATTGTTGTGTTGGTTGCTTGGCATCTACTTAAAAACACATCTGGGTAAGTTTTAGTGTATTGTCGAGGTCTGCACATAGCATGAGAGCCTGCAGACAGCAGTTGCTGCTGGAGATCAGTGTGAGATTGAGCCTCTTGAAAGCAAGGTAAAGTGAGCTTGTTTAGTTCTGATGTGGCGAAGAGACTTAAGGGCCTGCTTCCCTCTTATTTTGAAGTTGGATTTATCTGACACAAGACTTCCCACGCTGGCTGCTTTCTTGTAGTATTGAGGCAGCATTAGAACTGCATAGTCACTTTTTTTTTTTTTTTCAAAATGTTAGCTTATCCCCATATATTTTTGATACATCTGTATATTTCATATTTCTTTTGTCCACCAGGCACTCAGAGCATGTTTTCAAAATTTTTCTCATTTCCACTAGAATATAGAATTATTTCTAAGACATACTCAACCACACTTAATATGTATGAAAGTTGAAATCCTCCTCTCATTATCCTTTTAATGTCAATGTATAAGGTCACTGCAGCCATATTTCTTTGAAGGTGGGGTTTAGGGCCCGTTTTGGAGATTTATGGGTAGGAGAAAAACTAGTATGTAAAAGCACTGTTTTCATTCCACTAATGTTGATTCACTTGGCTCTTAAGAAGAGCTTATTGCTTTGTTTACTTGGAAAGAATGAATATCAACACAGAAATAAGCAGCTGAGAACAGGATTTCCAGAAGAAGAATTTTTCTGCTCAGTTTTCTGTTAATTCAAAGCAATATCTTTTAAAATTGATGCAACTCCCAGTCCTGTGATGATCACATTACTTCCCCTTAGGAGTAAACACAGACAAAAGTGTCTGCTTAGTTTCCAAAATAGAGGACCACTGTTGCCTCAGGTGCTCAAATTTCCATTAAAAAAAGCCTCCTATAGCTGTACACACTGAATGTATCAATGTACCTGGGGACTTCCATGCCAACTTTTGAGAAATACTAGGAACCCTTCTTCAAAAAGACATGGGAAAACAATTTACTGAACAAGCCTCCCAAAAGTGCTTTTTCAGACAGTCTTTCACCTAGCAGAAGCACTCAGACCTGAAGTGCTTTAACTGGAACAAACTAACCATATTGTGTAGTTTTAGAACCTGTTTTTCCCTTTTTTTCTCCTTCCTTTCAATCTTGCAAAATGTGTAACCTTATGGGACAAAAGAGTTAACCCTTTCTTATGACTCCATAGCACTGCAACACTCAAACCTCCTTCTGGAAATCCTCTTGTGCTAGTATATTGCAATGCTACTTTTCAGAGTGTACAGAACCTAATGCATTTAGTTTTTTCACAGCATCCCACTGAGTCCCAGGTTCCAGGGACAATTCATGTCCCTCACAGCTCATCAGATTTTATAAAACTCAGCAACACTAGGAGGTTTGTCTGAGAGGAAGGCTGGGGCTACCAGGCTGACCCGGTTCTATACCTCATCTGCACCATTACCCATTTCAGCTATATGGCTCAATTTTTGAGCTTATAATGGGAAGTGTGTTACTTACATTATGCATCAGATACTTTTATCAAGAGCTTCAGCTGTTCCAGTTTTCAAGCGTGTCTGTGGGCTCTGTACATTTAGCAGCTTATTTCTATGTGATGATTTCATAATGCTGAAAATAGATAGAGAAGCAGACTCATATTCCTCAAACTGCCTGATGTGAGAAAATCACGTTGAGCAGAAGGTTGCTGAGACCTGGAGAAGTACCACTTAGCTTGTAACTTTCCAAGATGAAAGGAATTAGCTATCAGCAGCAGAAATTTCCATTCTGCTTGCCTTTGGAGCATTTTGCAGGGGGCAACACTGATCCTTGTCAACAGACAGGATGCTATACAGAAATTACGTTTCTGTAGTCACAAGCAGCACATCATCAAATTAGTTTCTAGGTGGTTACGGCAGTGGTGCCTAAATCCCAACTTCAAATATACTTTTATACCAAGTAAGACAGCAGATGAAAGAACTGAGCAACTTAGGGAATAAGAAATTGAAGGGAGAAACTGCAAAAGAGAAAGGTTTAAGAACATACCATTGAAATACCTCAGTGCAATTCAGGTATCTGAGGGTGAGGTGGAGTCGCTGGCTGTGTAGGTTACCTAGAATGAATTGTCAAGTTTTGAGTTGCTAGAGTAGAGGACTGTGTTTTCTACCCAGACTGAGACAGCTGCAAAAACAACTTCAGTTCTGTAATAAGGATTGCATGTGATTAATAAAAAATGAACACCCTGTTGAGTTGTATTTTCACAATGGGAAAATATTGGTCTGGTCTGTTGGAAGATTTTATTGGTCAAAATCAGCTGGTTTTTTGGACACCGTTCAGAACAGACACTGCTGGGGAAGGCCAAGCCAAAGGAGTTTTTGTAGGTGGGCAGTTGTCTGCTACCAGTAAAATAACTGTTTAATGTTAAAAAGAAGTAATGCTGCCCGTACAGCACTACAATTCTCCACTTTTTCATTATAATTTAATTACTATAGAAAAAAATATCTCGCCTTGGACTTCAGCTTGTTCAGTGCGATTACAGAGACTGAGATATATACAGGCAAAATCAATGTGATATTTTTTCCCCAATGTTTTGAGCTTCCTGTTCATTCACATATGACATTACAGAGAATTGATGTTAAATACTGCCAAGCTACAAGTGTAACAAATCTGCAGCTACATTCCAGGAAGGTGGCCAGGAATTAAGCCCTGGAATGCTTACTCTCTGCGGACTGTCAGTAGTCTGGCAAAATTGGAGTGCACACCCTTATCCAGAATAATGTTAGGGTGTCACTCATGCTTAGCATAATCTTCTTTGGAAATGAGAATATCTTGTGACATTCTTCAGCAGCGTTTATGGACAAATAAAAGCTTTAATGGAGCCTTCACAGGAGAACATTGGCTACCAAGGAGGATCCTGAGGACTGGGTTGTATAAATTAGGGAGAACTTGGGACGTTTTCAGAGCTCCATGAGGGATGAGGAAGAGATCTTTCATCTGCCCGAGTTCCTGGGGCTCTGAGGAAAAAACACACTGCACAGCACTTAGCCCAGGGAACAACTGTTGTGTTTTGAGGCTGTATATATGCATTAAATAGTCTGGCCTCCTTCCGTTGAATACATTCCTCTGAATTGGATGCTAGATGGTAACAGCTTTTAACATGTCAGCAGGAGATTCATTATGATAAACATGTAAATTGTGTATCGTTCCAATAGGCTGTGTAGATCCAGCGAGGTACATGTGATTAAAAGCATATTATTAAGGGCCTCCAATAGTAATGAGCACTCTGCAATGTACCACACTAAGTCACTGAGTGCTGTACTGCCAGTTACCTGATGCGATTTTAACCAGATCCTCTATGACCCTAATGGAAAACCCCATGTGGTTTTGTGTCAATGTCTTTTGCTTTATGATAGATTTGGTTTTGTTTCCTACTCCCTCTTTTTTTTTTCTTTTTTTGAATTTTAAATCAAACTTAAAATAACAGCCTAACTTAAGAGGAATATACCTTGCAGTATATGCCCCATGACTTTGTCTTGTCCCATCCATTGACTTTCAATTTATCTTCTGCACCTGGATGCTGAAGGGGGTATGGGGATGGGCAGAATAAACAATGCACGTCAAAGAATAATTAATTGTGGTGATAAGGATTTTCAGCATCTTGGAGAAAGAATCCTTTCCCTCACAGTTTTCCAACCTCTTTTGGCTTTCATGTTAGCCTCTCATTCTTTGTGTGTACAAACATGCATACACATAGGTACATATTAAGTACATATTAAGCACATTGTTCTATGTAAAGAGGGAGGTTCTTTCTGTCAACATAGCAAGAAGAGCTCAGAAGCACTATGTCAACTTACATAAGCTATTAAGCTATCCACAGCTGATGTCTTTGAGGTCATCTTCTGTAGCCAGAATAAATTTCTCTTTAGCAGTACAGATGGATACTAGGAAAGCTAGCAGATGCATTGTAGCTAATCAGACAGAGGCTCAGCAGGGTAACTAAAATCTCTGTTAGAATTCATATCCCTTCGTGGAGTTTAATTAAAGAGCTTTGTGTGCATCCTTTTGTTTTATCTGTTGCCAGTGTTTTGTCTCCTATTGCGGCAGTTCCTTCAAATAACCATCAATTTGCTGTGATAATCTAATGAGAAGAACAAGCAGCACTATTTAATTATAGCAAAATGATAATGAGCCTTGGCTGCTGAAGAGTTAAGGAGCTGCTGCTGGTCACTGGAACACAAAAGAGTCAGTGCCAAGGGGCCCCTGGAAGTCTGTGGCACTTCAGATTTCATTGCTGAGCAGCAGTAGCTGGCTGCATCAAGCAGCAGGCCAGCGGAGCTTCCTTCAGGGAGAAATAACTGCAGTACTGAGCAGCCTCCTCAGAGCAGAAAGCAGAACAGGCATGGGCAGATTTCTGTTTCATACCCCAGCAAAAATACAAGGCGATCAAAAGGATGATCTGTTGTCCTATAGAAGCTCAATGCCTTTTGCAGAGTGCTCCATCTCCATTCCCCAGCCTCATAGTAGAAGCTAGCAGTTGTGGCATAACCAGGTGTCACCTGGTGTCATTTTGCTGGAGGAGGTGGCAGGAGAACTTGGGGAAATAGGGTCCTGGCTGCAGGGGAAACGTGAGCCAAGGAGCATGTAAATGAGTTATTCCTCTGCTCTATCCAAGAATAATGTGGATTCAGGTTAATCAAGAGAAAACACCTGAAAGAGGTAAAAACTTTACATATTCAGACACTTTCCTGTTGGTTTGGTTTTTTTTTTTCTTTTGTTCTGAACCAAGAATCTTGATTGAACCAAATCTTGATTGACTTTTTTATTTTGCATCCAAGTGTTTGATCATTTAAGCTTCTTTCCCTTTTATGTTTTCTCTAGCTAGGATCATGTAAGTAAGCATGGAGTGAGGAACAGTAGAGGAGAGACTACTGGAAGATCTGTCAACAGTGGTTCAGCCCAGTTCCATGACTAGTGGGACAGGGGGACTCACAGACCCACACCTCGTGAAAGGGAAAGGGAAAAAGGGGAAAAGGTAGGGAGATGGACCTAAAAACAGAACAGCAGCAATGATCTGAGAAGAAACAAACTAATTTACTAAATAACATATTGGAATGCAAGATAACACAATATAATACAATATAATTGGAATTGAAGACAATAAATCACAATACAGTATAATGCAATATAGAATCATAGAATGGCCTGGCTTGAAAAGGGCCACAATGATCATCTAGTTTCAAGCTATGTGCAGGGTCGCCAACTATACTAGACCAGCCTGACCAGAGCCAGGGATGGGGCATTCACAACATCCTTGGTCAATCTATTCCAATGTGTCATCACCCTCTGAGTGAAAAACCTCCTCCTAATATCTAACCTAAACCTCTCCTTTCTTAGTTTCATTCCCCTTGTCCTATTGCTATCAAAAAAGGGAAGGTCTCATTATTTGCAAATGGTTTTTATCTTTCCCTTTGAGCAGAAAATGATAATAGAAAAGCAAGCAGTCCTCTGGGAGATGTAGTTCTGCTTCTATTCTGGGACAGGTTCCCAGAACTATCCATGGTCCATGGAACTGGAAAATTAACTCTTTAACTCCCATGATGCTATGATGTGGAATACCAATAACAAAAAATCATGAAACCATGACAAGACCTTATAGCAGAAAACCAAGTCCCCAGAATTCAGCTTAATATTGAGGTGACAGACTGTCATGTGCATGGCATCCTGATTAATCACAGTATTAATGAGCTTCCGGGGCATAAAGTGCCTGCAGTTCTCTGCAAACTTGGTCTGCAGATGTACAGCCACTTGTCTGGTTAGTATATGATGGAGCTGTACCAGGTTTGACAACACATCCAGAACTGATGACGTCTCTGAAGGCAATGACAGGACCTACATTTTCACTCTCAGCACATAGCTTGACTGCACCACTGTGGGGGAGAGGCATGGGAAGGCAAGAGTATTAGCACAACTGAGGTAACTCAGAGCAAAACCTGTGACAGTCTGTGTCCGTAGACATCTGACGTAGACTCACAGAATCACAGAATGGCTTGGGTTCCTGTTCTTTGGGCCTTTCTCTAGAAACTTAGGCTGCTTGTTTTTACTTCAAGATCTTACAAAACATCCAGTTCCAACACCCCTGCTGTGGGCAGGAATACTCCCCAGTAGACAAAATTGTCCAAAGCCCATTCCAACCTGGCCTTAAACACCTCCACAGATGGGGCATCTGCAGCTTTTCTGGGCGGTTCGTTCAGTGCCTTGCAGCCCTCTGACTAAAATGAACATATCTGGCAGGTGCAAACTATTCCTGGCAGCGCTCTACCACTGACATCCAGAGTATGTGGTTGGCTGCATGTGAGCAAGACTGTCATGGGAAGGGCAGCATGGAGTTGGTATGAAATGCAGCTTTGCTGTTGTTGAAGCATTCTTCCTACAGTACATCATGCTGTGGTTTGGCTTTCCAGCAGGCGGAAAGGTTAAAGTAAACTTACATTATGAATATTTCTCATAGATGTAAGACTACAATTACAATTCTGCTGACAGTCTTACAGACCCTGTCTGCTTTGACCAGATCCATAATTTTTTTTTGCGTGCAATTCTGCAAATTTTTTGTGAAGTGAAAAGATGTGGTGCTATCTTCCTTTCTCTGTTTACTTATTCTCCACATCCTCCTCAACATCTCATACTACCTACCTATAACAGGGTTATTGGCCTGCTCTCATTCACGATACCTCAATGTGTCACTGTATCTCTACTCTTTTATTTCACAGTATTCACTGCTCTTACTCTTCTTCTTAGCACCCTCTTTCATTTGATTCTTTCTAGTCACAAATATAAATGCCAGTCTTTCACATGTGTGAAATAAGAACTGAATAAACTTAGGTATCCCAGCTATTATCTCTGTTCTTTTCTCTTAATTTATGTTGAAATTGAAATATAAACTAATTGAATATGTCTTGCAACTTCTACATGCAATTCCTTCTCTCTGTATTCATTGTAGACAATGCTCAATACATCAATTTCATTTAATTTGTTGTTCCTAGCCCCATCTCAGAGAACAATTTTATCTTTGTGGGCTGAGAAACCACAAACCCTTTGGCACTGGCTCTTTTGTGTTTCAATGGCCAGCAGCAGCAACTCCTTCACATTCAAAGCACATTATAATGCTTACATGAAGAGTACCACATACCTTCCTTCATAGTAAAGACGTGAATCTGAATTAACTCCTCCACTTTTAGCCTCATTTTTCATATCCCCTTTTATTTATAACTTAGACTCAACTTCATTCTGCATGCTGTCTACATAATGCATCCTTCTCTCTCTACTCAGTCAACTACAGCTTTATTGTTGTAACTTCAGCTGTTATTGTGTTATGGATCAGTCACTGTACCCATACTGTCATAAATCTGACAGATGTACCCCACCCATTGCCAGTGCTTCTGCAAAGAATATTTGCCCTGCGCTTGACTTAAACCATGCCTTCTGTTCTTTGGGCCTTCCTCCAGAAACTTAGGCTACTTGTTTTTACATCAAGGCTTCTCTTGGCCTATCTCCTCCCTACCTATTCTCACTGCCTTAGTATTTCAACTTTGATAATGGATAGTGCTGGCCTCCTGTGAGCACTTGTTCCATTTTTAAATGTTCCTCATAACTGGAAGGAGTGTCTTGCAAAGTTCTGTAAAGTAACTTCTTTTGGTACTTAGAATCCCTTCGTACAGCTGTTCCTTTCCACACTGTCTATTAAAAGGCTTTGTGTAAGGATGATGTGTTGGCTGGCACCAACTCATTTTACTGTGACCTGGCCATGCTGCCCCATACTGACCCAACATGCTCAGGTCATGAATGCTGTGGGACTGGGACTTTCACGCTGTTCAGCTCAAGTGCAGCACATAGCACAAGGCAAATGAGGTTCATAAAAGGGACTTCCACACAGTAATAAGTGCTTAGGAAGCATAAGTACAGCTATGCAGGCAAAAAGTTACATGGTACTAACACAGTAAAACTGTCACCCTACCCATAGTGAAATAAAAAATCCAGAAGAAAAGCAGAGTGGCTGGTATCTTTACACCCTAAAAGAGATTTCATCTCTTTTGCTCCTACTTGACATAGCTTTAGTAGTTTTAGTAACATCACCTTAGGGATACCTCTAACTAGGCTGTGTTTTGGGAGAGGTGTCTGTGAGCACAGCAGTTGGCCTCACAGCGGGACTGCTGGAAAAGGTGCTGTGAGCTCTTCATCTATTTCAGCACAGAATCAACAGCTTATCTCAAGCTACTTTATAGATGATTGACCCTGGCAGTGCAGAGTTTGCATTGATGCAATGCAGGGTCAGATGCAGGGGTTCTCTCAGAGCAGTAAATCCAGGCAGTGGAATGGTGGCAAACAGCCAAGGGGCAGAAGAGGAGGAACAGTGGTAGAGTGTGTAGCTCCCACAACTGCCTGCAGAGTGACGATACATCCATGGCAGCTTCTGCCGAGATTCAGGAAAATGTGTGAGCTGAAATCCTTTATCATCCATGGAGTTTGACTGCTGAGGCTCTGAAAAGAACTTCAGAGAAATTTATATCGAAGCTGTCTGAGACTTAATTTTTCCTTGGTTTTGATAGAAGGCATTGCCTCAGGCAAGCTGGCAACGCTTTTGATGAACAAACCTTTTGGTGGAACAAGAAGGTTTCCAGTTTCTAATGAACGGCCTCCCACTCTCCACCGAGCCTAGTGTTCATTTACATGGTTTTCTTGTGAACATTTCACACAGCTTTGAAAATCACATGCTCCGTTACAGGAAATGTTTTTTCTCTGTTGCACATCTTTTGTGGCTGACTGCCAGGAGCTCCTGCTCCGACTCCCAACTGTGCTTCTATGACTAGCTTTTGTGACCATGGAAAGTCATTTCATCCTTCTGCCTCCTCTGTTTTCTTCTTTGTGAAATATGTAAAAATAAGTTAAAGACCAGAGCCTGTATGTCCTCTGAAGCAATACCTGGCAGAAGTATGATAGCAAAAGATGAGGCTTCTTTAGTATCCTAAACAACCTCTGAGAAAGAGAACAGATAAACTATTCTTTTTTCCTCTGATGAAATTATTGTTTCTTTCAAGGTGAAAGCCATGAAATATTTCAATCTAAGCTGGAACTGACATAAAGTATTAAGTATTAAGTTTTGTTAAATGGGGGAGGAGATAAAGCTCTTCCAAGGAATGTGGAAGGAAAACAGCTTCTTGTTCTGGAAAACATATTTTACTGGTATGCATCCTTTCATACTGTCTTCAGGCATTCTAATGTAACAGGGTTGCAAAAGCAATCTCTGTTCACTGCGTTCTGATTTTGACAATGAGGTAATTACTAATGTGGTAATTTTATGTGGGCAGATGCGTGAAAACTCAGAAAGACACCCTGCTTTACACTTATGCAACTGTAAATGACTGTTGCAGTTATAAATACTGAAAAACAGGGAGGAGGGCGGGCAGGCAAAGAGAACAGCAGCAGACTCCCCATCCATCTCTCCAGTCCATCAGTTGGTCTGAAACCGTGGACTGTGGTTCAATACTTTAAACCATATTTCTGAAAACAATGGTTAAATAAAGCTACCTTATTTTTTTCTCTTAAGATTTACTTTCATACTTTTTAAATAATTATTCTCATACTGTAGTCAGGAAAACATTGAATAAGTTTTTGATAGTGACTTTCCCATGCTATAATAGCCTATTTAAGTGGCATCATTTCATTTCATTCATCTCCATTTTGGAATGGAGGCCTCGTGTCGATGATGCCAAGGTTTCCTACACAGTGCTTTTTTCACCAATTTATTTTAATAATAGGGAAGTGGTTATGGCTGAAGCCCTGGTTGTGTTTCTGTAGTAGAAGTCCATATACTTGGTGGATAAGTGGATTTGGTCCTTCAGAGATTTTCTTTTTTTCCTGATGTCCAAAGGTATGACTTCGTCTTGTAAGACAGATGACTCAGTGCTGCAGTCCTCCTCTAAAGATAGCAGGAAAAAAAAAAAAAAAATCCCAGTGTGATGTTATCCAAATACTTCCATTAGCTGAGGAAAAGGGGTAGCCTTACTTCCTCCCCTACT